CGTGTCTAGTGCCACGTGTTTAGTAGATCGAAGTATACGAGGTGAAATCCGAGAGGAGGAAGATCGAAGATCGAAGAATCGAGGAGAAGCATACGAGCCAACCGCACGCAACCCCACGCGCCGCCCGAAGACCGCGCGTGAGTCACACGCGCCGCCACGGCCCGTCTCGCCGCTGCTGCCGCTGCACCGCTGCTGCCCCGGATTGTACGGATTGGTTTCCGTAGCAATCTCGACTTGCTTAGCGCTCCTACCTCACGCTTCAAGAGGTAAACACACGAATCTCATGTTTTCGATTCGTTTACGTTTAAACTAAATATTCATGTTTGCTTTCGTATGATTTTATGTGATTTTGTGTAATCGTTTTAATTGTTGCAAGCATGTTAGTTGGTTTAAACGCGAGCATGTTAATTGGTTTAAATTCAGTTAAACATTTAAGCATGTATGTAGTTTTTAATTTCGCTGGAAGCGCAAAGGTACGCAATTAATTGATTTAATTTATCGGGCATGTATTATTATCTTTAAAGTCGTTTAAATCGCATAAAATTTTTGTTTTCCGCTGCGTACACGTGCCCGAAACCCAACAGTAGCCTGGGCAGCGAGGTAACTTTGCATCTCGTATGCAGTCTCGTATGTTAATAAAATTCCGATCAACTTATCCACCAGATATCCAATTCCGGCTAAACTGTTCTACATTCACTTTCTTATTATTCAAACACACACATATATACCTATTGAATATTTATTTATGTGAAAAAAGGTATTATTATTATTTGAGCCTATTAAGATCATAAAAAGCTTATATAATCCTAAAATCCGTGAAACTCCTCTATCACGTACCATGGAGAAATTCAACGGATAGTCAATCAGGCAGTGCAGCAAGACCGGGCGAGTTGAAAGACAGTTAAAACTCGCCCACTCCTAAGCTCGGTCCCAGTAATAGCCACTCAAGAGGCGAGATTAATGGTGGGTCCTTCTGTATGCTCGCTCGTACCATTCCAGCGAGAGCAGCGGGGTAACCTGTTTTCGGTGGAAATCATGCTTGCGACTTGCCAATAGGATTTTAAGCTCTTGAACACCTCGCGTATGATGGGACAACCAATCCTTGGTATCATGTAAGTAGATTCCAGACCACGTCTTATCTACCTCGATTTTCATATGGTATTATGTGCCTTTGCTACCACGTTGCGAGAAACAACTCAACTCTGGTTTGGCTAATTACCAGAAGGCTCGGTGCCAGATTTTGAAACATACAGTTCTATGTTAGATCACTTTGCCAGTTCCAAGAAACAGAAAAAGTCCGCCCTCGCGCTTTTTCAGTTTTCAACAGGAGAAACGAGAATCCTTGAGAAGTTTTGTGGGCCGATTCACAAGTGCCACTGGGGAGGTACTTGCTCTTTCGCAAGACGTACTCACTAATGGCTTGATGCAGGGTCTAAAGGATGGTGAGATCTTTAGATCGCTTGCAAAATAGCCGCCGTCGACGTATGACGAGCTTCTTAAGTGGACCGAAAAATACATTAATATGGAAGAGGCGGGGAAGATGGAGGAAGAGGTAGAAGTGGTGCCCGCCTAGCGCGCCCCGACAAAGGTTGCCCTCTGAGAGATAGAGCCGGTAGGACCTCGTCGACGTGCCCCTGTTCGCGAGGTACCAGCATAATAATACAGGAGACCGCGGTATCCTTAGAAAGACGCCCACCCAGGTACGCAATAGAAGGAGGACCCGATATTCAATGGGCGATGTCATACCAGAGAATGCCCGCCAAAGGTCCCAAAGTAGGGGGCTACTGTCGATATCATAACAAGTACAACCATTGTACTGATGAATGAAACCACTTAAAGGACGAGCTGGAGAGGATAGCTCGGGGGAACAGATTGGAGGGGTTCGTCAAGATGCGAACAGAGGATCATATTCCGGATCCTCCAGCTCGACGGTGAAGATCCTCGGAGATGCCAGAAGATGTACCGATTGAGATTCCTATACTGATAGAGATTCCCATATAATTTGGAAGATGTACTCTCAGCAAATCCCCCGCTGTCTTCATTTTATTGATCTCCACTTCGCTAGCAATCTCTCTGTCCTTGAGCTCATGAAATAATATTCATAATAGTGCATTCATGTCAAAGATCCAATCCTTCCAAGGCTTGTTATATTCAAGAATAAGGTTGAAATCAATGATGAATTTGTTCACATAACCGGGTTGGATAACACATCATTTCACCGGTTGTAAAAGCCGAAGAAAACTCGCTTTTATAGTATGGAACCACCCTACCAACAAACTGATTCGATGAAGTAAAGACCATAGTGGCGCTCGACCCCATATCTATCATCACTCATTCCTCTTTTGCGTCCTTAAGAGTGAATTTTCTGACCATCTCCGCAGTTATTTTCTCCATGGAGCGAGAGTGTGAGACGACGACTGGAACACATCAGTTCTATGGGTACACTTGCTAAGCTTTTTTAGTCACCGATCTGGGAAAGTAAGAAGTAAATGGAAAGTAAGATGTAAATGGGGAAAATGTTTGGGTTCAAATTCAAACGGCCAAATAAGACAAAAGTAATAATATCCTAGACAACCTAATATGCAAACAAATATAAAAGAAGAAAAAACTCGACCAAGTATGGGCATACACCTTAACTGGACATGGAAATTACATGAAAATTCTGTATTTTGATATCCATATCCCGGAACCGACGGTTAAGCCCCTCGGTTTAACCAGCAGAAGCGGAACTGAAAAACCAGCCCGCCTAACCGGTTCGGAAATGGGTTTTATTTTTGAAATTCAAACGCTAATGGCTAATTTTTAGGCAGGCAAACCGAAACCGGCCTGGAAATGAACACATTATTTTTTATTTCTTTCTATCACTTGTTTTCAACGTTCAAGATCATTGATCGTTTGAAATGGAAGGCCCAGATTTGTCGATTGTTGCAAACCGGCAGATAAACCCAAAACCGCATGGACGCAAACTGGCCGAATCAAAATTTAATTATTTTTTTTTATTTTTTATTTATATTTTCCTATAAATACGAGCACATTATTCTACATTTCCTCATCAATGCATTCACATTTCTCTTTTCTCTCTCAACTTGTTGGTCTCAATTCTCTTATCAGTTAACAATCTTCGCTTACTTTGCAACAAATTTTCGGTTTTCTTGTCAATTTCCAATTTTCAGTTTACATTGTTAGTTATTATTTTGTTCGTTACTCTCTCAAATTACATATTTTTTTGTTCTCTTTTCGATTTTCATATCTACATATTTTACTTTCTTAGGCATTTGACAAGTGTTGGAGATTTGACTTTTGAGTCAAATATAATTTAATTGTTTTGACTTTCTTAAATCTATTTTCTATTTTCGAATTTATTATTATTCTTGGATTTATTATTCGGATTTATTATCTAAAGTTAGTGGGCGGTTATTGTTAGCTTAGAGGGTAGTTATTTAAGCACATGTTTAATTTATCCTCTAACCCATTATCCTACTAACTTCGTATCTTCTCTTAATGTGCTATTTTCGTGCAGGGCATGATGATCCTGAACTCTATAAATAGGAGAAGATCCGTTCATTTCTCCACAATGCAGACGGGACAAGTAATAAAAATGGAGACGGTCAAAATTGGAGTCAAGACTTTAAATCTCAAAATTGGTAATGGGTTCTGAGTTATCAAGCAACGGCGATCAAAATTGGAGTCAAAATTAGGTTATGGGTCAAAATTGAATAATTGTTGAAATTTGGGGTCAAATTGAAGTTAAATTGGATTAAATGATGAAATTGAACCATATGAAAAGGTGAGGGGGTATTTTAGTTTTCTACATACCTCTCGACATTGTCTATACTTTTTTCTCAAAGAGTTTTTGGTATGGACTTCTTTGTGAGTAGCCCGCGATGAGCTTATTCGTAATAGGCCCAAAATATATATTACCATCACACAAGAATGTAGTAGTCATTTTGATGTCCTTCCATATAAACATGACATATAAAAAACTACATCGGGCGAGCTAGCGGAGAAGATACAAACTCATGTCTACTCAGCAATGTTTGGCCAATACGCGTAGCTGGTTAGGTCGCGGGGAGGAGGGCTCCCGGGCAGCGTAATGCATGCTTGATGAGGGTTCCAAGGCTTCGATGAGGTCTTTAGGGGCTAATCCCTTTTCGTTTCGATTTTCTATGTTGTTTTGATTTTTGTTAAGTGTTCTTAGTTTTACGGTTCTGCAATTTCCTCAAGTATGCCCGTTTTGACTGTCTACGACTTTTTAAATTTATAATATTTACATTTTGATATTAAAAAAAAAAAGAAAAAAAAAGATATATAAGAACATGGAATTTGTGAATGGGTTATGTTAAGAAACTAAAAGTAAAAGTGATATTAATTTCATTTTAAACATTAAACTAGCAATTCTCCATGTACTATGCACGAAGTAGCATTTAAGAAAATTTAAATATATGATAATTAAACTGTGTTAAAAAAAATTATACAATATTAGATAATTAATTGTTAAAATTAAATTATCAAAATAGCATAAATGAGCCTATTTGGCAATCTACTTTTCTATAAAAGTCAAAATATGTTAGGAAAATAGTAGATGGAAATTATCAAAATAGCATAAATGAGCCTATTTGATTATCATTGTTATCGTGTTCGCTCCAATGAGCTCCCTCCTCTCATCGTTGCGGTTGATCTCGATTGTTATCTCGGCGTGGGAGGTCATCACGGCGCTTGTTTCGAGGCTTGTCGATGTATTCGCCTAAGTGGCCTTGCTTGATCAACTTCTCAATTGCTAATTTGTGTTGTGCACATTCCTCGGTAGTATGTCCTCTGTCTTTATGGAATCGACAGTAGCGATCCGATTTTTCTCGTTTCGCAGTGGGTTGCATTGGGCGTGCAGGTTCTACTAGACCTCTTTGTTCTATCACATGAAGGATTTCAGTGAGGCGGGTGTTTAGCGGAGTGAATCGATTGTAGGAGGACGACGATTGGCCTTGAGGTGGGGGTGGCGGACGTCAATCGTCCCGTCTCCTGGCGTCTTGTCGGTCATCTTCTCTCTTGCTCTTGGGAGGAGCATGGGTAGACGCGTCCTCTATTCGCACATATTTCTCTGCACGGTTCAGCAACTCCTCTAGGTTGCCTGGAGGCCTTCCGACAATCGATTCTTTGAACCTACCCGACTTCAAGTTTTGTTGCATGATCCCGGAGAGCATGTCTTGTCCTAAGCTTGGGACTTCGTGGACGGCTTCCACAAAACGCTTGATGTAATTGCGGAGCGTTTCGTTGTCTCTTTGTACTACAGAGAAAAGGTGTGCTGGGGTCTTGGCATATTGTTTGTTGATGGAGAATTGGTTGGTGAAGTGTTGCGACAATCGAGCGAAGGTGTCAATCGATCCTGTAGGTAGAGAGTTGAACCAATTCATGGCCCGCTTGGAGAGAGTGGTGCGGAACATTTTGCACATTGCGGCATCTGTTGGGCCATACAAATCTGCCATGGCGTGGAATTTCTCTATGTGTTCTTGTGGGTCGGTGGTTCCTTCAAACTGAGGTAACCCTGAGAATGTCCACGGTGAAAGGACTGCGTCTTACTGGGGCATTCATTCTTCCGCCAATTGGATTGTTCAATTGGGGGAACGAAACTTGGCGAGACATTCTGCTGTTTACCTCCCCTTCTCCCTCATTAAAGAGAGGGACTCTCTGTGGAGACGCATTAACCCGTGGGGGTTCGCGTTGACGTTGATGTCTGGGTTGTGCCCCCCTGTGATTGGTGGATAGTTGTACCCGGGACCGTGGGTCCGAGGTGGATGAGGAGACACTTATTTGGTTCTGGACTGGCGGTGGTATCATGGGTGGCACCACAGGTGGAGCAGGTGCGGGTATCGCGTTGGGAGCATTTGCTCCCATCGTGGCGATATATTGGGTTACGGCCTCTATGGCGGCGCGAGTTGAGGCTTCTGCTATCGTGCGTTGGAGCGCATCCTCGGTTATCTGAACCGTTCGGGGAGCAGGAAGTGGCGGATCGGCGAGTGGTGGGTCCCGAGGGGGGATCACCTGAACCTCGCGAGGCGGATCCGGAGCACGTGGAGGAGGTGGCAAGCCAGAGCCTCCGCGGATTGGGAGGTTGTTAGTTGTGTCATTCTCTCTCCGAGCGAATGCCTCAGGAGGATCTTGTTGGCTACGTGATCTGGTTTGCATTTTCCCATAGACGGCGCCAAAATGATGATGCTAATTACTTAGATCACCTGGGGTAGGGTAGTAAATGAGCTAGGAGAGCAAAGCGGATCAATATCTTGACAACTTGATGATCCTGAGGTCCCTCGGGTAGGGTAGTAAATGAGCTAGGAGAGCAAAGCGGATCAGTAGATTGACAACTTGATGATCCTGAGGTCCCTGCGAAACGAACACACGTGAACTAAGCCGGGGGTTGATCCGGCGGAAACCCCTCCGACGCTCAAGTCAGATGTGCGGATCGTGGATATGGTAGAGAGAAAAATCACTCTAGATTACTTGTGAATAATAGAACGTACCTTAACAAATGAGTAAAAATCTCTATTTATATGTGTTGATTGGGTTGGGTTTATTTTGTTGGGGCCAAGCCTTATTTTGAAGGTGCTTGGGCTTTTGTGTAGTGGGCCCAATTATTAGACAAATTTGGGGGCCCATTGGATCGGCCCAATTAGGTATATCAAAGAAAAAGGAGGAGGTTGAGGGGTTTGTGAATAAGGAAAAGGGTTTTGAGGGTTTTTATGTATTTGGTATTGAAGAAAGAAAAGGAAATTTTGTATGTTTTTGTGTGGTATTGATTTTCATTAAATGTACTTCAATCTACTTAATTATTATCTAATTTTTATTTTGGTAGTATCTAAGGAAGAAAAATTTAGTATTATTTTTATGGGTACATTCCACATTCCCTCCTTGTACTTTGGTTCGATATCACTTTACCCCATTCTACTCTCAATTGCATCGATTTGCCCCCTTGTACTTTGGCTCGATATCACTTTATCCCCTTCTACTCTCAATTGCATCGATTTCCCCCCTTGTACTTTGGCTCGATAACACTTTACCCCCTTTTACTCTCAATTACATCGATTTGCCCCTGTACTTGAAAAAATATCTCAATGTGGCCTCGCCGTTAGTTTTCAAACCTTTGACATTAACACCGTTTGATATAAGTCTGAAAATTACTAAAAAGTCATCCATCCTAGTTTAAATAATTATTAAAAAAATTAAAAAAAAAAAACAAAAAAAAAAAAGAATAAAAAATTCAATACAACGACCACGACGACAGTCACAATTTATTTTTTGTTTTTTTAATTTTTTTTAATAATTATTTAAATTGAGAGGGGTGGTTTTTTTGTAATTTTCAAATTTAGATCAAACGGTGTTAAGGTCAAAGATGTTAAGGTCAAAGGTGTGAAAATTAACGGCGAGGGCCACAACCAGACAACTTTTCAAGTACAGGGGGACAAATCGGACCCTAATTGTCTCCATAACCAGCTTTCCTTGCCAGGGCTGAAACTTAGCCCGCAAAAGTCAAATGCCAGCCTAGGAAATTGAGTGATGGTCATTTCTGATAAATTCATTCCTAGTTTTCTTGCAACAAAAATTTTATCATACCTAGTAAAGGTATTTTGTCTTCAATCGTTCACCACCACCTGCCTAAACCATCCACGTTGAGGTTTCACTATTACGCCCGGAGATTGAATTGTCATTTATCATTATTTTCCTTTTAAAACAGTTTAATGAAATTATAAAGTAAATAATTACAAATGATTTAATCTGTTAACAAAGAAAAACAAGTAATAGAAAGCTAGTGAAAGAAATTGTGTTCGTCTAGGACTTATTATTGTGTCATTGTCAAAGAGACAAAATATGACCCAAAGTGATTAATTGCATCTTATTTTGTTGAATTGAATTGACAAAAGCAAATTAGCAATTGAAAGGGGATAAAACGCTAATGAGGAAAACGACAAAAAGATTCATTAACTTGTGAATGTATATTAGCAATAATTAAAAGAGATATTGAATTGATGCCATCGTATCATCCACCACATATGTTTCACTAATAATTAAAGATCGTTTTTAAGCAAAACATGTGATTCTTCTATATAAATCCACTACTACTACCAGTATTGTGGGTCTCTCAAGGACAATTGAATTGATTGCCCTTTTCATATCATACATCAATGTAACTTTTTTTTTTATTTGTTGTACTTGTAAAAATTATGTTAGCTACACATCCTCTTTACTCTTAACAACTATATATATATATATATATATATATATATATATATATATATATATATATATATGGGTATATATATATATATATATAT